CAATATGGAAAGGCCGAATGAAAATAACACTGCAACTCAAGAACCAAAAAAAAAAAGTGTGGTTAAAGCCTCCAAATGTCACACTTTCTCATAAGAGATTGAAGACACGTGTCTTTACAATTTACCATAGTTGTAACATGCCAGGTTGTTGGTTATCCTACTGTCAGGAGTTTGAAACAGAGGAAATCTTTTCGTGTTATTTCCTGCTAAGATTGTTCTTTCAGAGTGTTCCCACAATAATGGGTTGCCATATCCAAGTGCTGGATGAGGATTCAGGTGATCCTAACCAAACCTCTTGTTAGTGTAGCCTTGTGGCGATCCGTCCAGGTAAGTGGCAGTGTCCAGGCTTTATGTTCTCCCACCCACAAAGTGAGACAGGACCATGTCCTCAGAATGCCCAAATTGCATCAGAAAATTCTAGACTCAGTCATATTGATGGAAGATCTGCCTTGTAGGAAAACCTCATCCATGTTCAGAGCAATTTCTTTGTACTGGCAATAATCCAAGTCATGGTCCCATCCAGACAAACTTGAATTTGTAATAAATATTTATCAGCTTAGCATAGGAGCCTCCACCTTGCTATAAAAAGGCTCCATCTTCCTGGGTTTGACATTACATAATGTCTTTGTAAATGTGTAGGTAGTCACATTTGGGACATCTATCTCCTTGACAACGAGTGTTGTATAGCCTTGGGTCCTGCATCCCTGAATATGCAAATGAAGGACCAAGACAACCTTCCATTCATTTTGCTTCTGGGCTCCTGGTCACCTCCACCCTGGTGGCAACCTGCCAGCTTAAGTGAAGATCAAAGCAGGGAAAGTGGTAATAGATGTGAAAACCACATCCCTTGGATTTGGATGGGGACAAGGTGGGAGGTCAGCAAGCAAGGCTTCTAGATCCTTTTGGTTCCTTCTAGAAGGCCTTGGCAAGCTCTACCCACTGTGGTCTGTAGCTTACACCCTGCCCAGTGCTTGACCTTCCTTTCCAGTGGAGGAATGACTGCCCTATAACTGCGCCACTTTTCCCTGTGACCCTCATCTGGCTCCGCCCACCAAGTTCCATCTTTCCCACCCTTCCTTTGAAGCTGCCTTATCTTGAGAAGTAGGTATTTGATGTTATAAAGATAGGGGGGTTGGCAGCCACAGGCCTGGTAATCTCCCAACTATGGTTTAGATTTGTTTTGAAATAAAACCCTGGCCCAGGCCTGACTAGGTGAAACAGTGACCAACCTGAAATAGAAAGACGCGTTTGGAAACAGGCCTCATGAATTTTTAAACTGAAAATATGGGATGAGGGGCAAAGTGTATAGCTAGTGGCGTGGGCATTTTGTTGTTTTGTTTTTAATTTGCTCTGAGACTAGTATAATAAATTTGTCATTTCCTAAAAGAGTGTTATTCCCAGGTACTTTAAACTTCAATCAGGCTGCTTCCCTCTGGATCCTGGTCGACTTCTCCTGTCCACTCCTATGCATAGCTGCTTACATGAAACATAATATGTGAAGTAAATTAATGGAAGTAAATTCATTCTCAAAGACTTGAGAATCTTCCCCAACAGAAGAACATGCACCCTAGATCCTGTGTATTAATTAACCAGGTTGAATTGTGTCTAAGCTGGGGATGCAAATGCGGTTTAAGCAGTTTTCTTTTTTTGCTCCAAGGACTTCTGGTGGCACAGTGGTTAAGTACTCTTTACAGAAGTAGCAGGATTCCTCTTTCTTGGGGTGAACTTGAACCTTCTGGTTCGTAGCCAAGTACTTAAGGTTCAAGCTCACTGCAAGAAAGATGAATCCTGCTGCTTCTGTAAAGGTTACAGCCTCAGAAACGCTGTGAGGCCGTTCCTCTCTACCCTGTAGGATCTATAGGGATCAACGTGAAAACACGGAGTTTGGGTTTTTGACATTTATTCTTGATTTGCTCCATACAGTATGGAACCAGGAGACTGTTCCGCCTTTTCTGAGACTTTGGGGAGGTTGTTTTTGTTTTGTTGGGGGTTTTTTAAGAAAGGAAAAGAAAAAATGAACTTTTGTGCCTCTACAGAGTGAGTCTTGCCTTTTAGCCAGAATCTCCAAATCTGTTCAACTTCTAAGCATATGAGGTGGGGGACAAGGGAGCTGACAGCTGCCCAGGGAGGCCTGAGGTGGCCCTGAGGAGGGGCTGCACTCTTCCCCAGCTAGGAGACCTCCAGGTGCACCAGTGTCAAAGTGCAGAGGGCACAGTGCCCCTGATCAAGACAGATCTGAACACACATTCCCCTCAGGGCTGGTGGGTGTGCTGGGTCATGAAATGAAAGCCAAATACAGACAGGAGAGAGCCTGCAGGCTCCTCACTGCCTTCTCAGCCCTGTACCTTGGGCCTCTTCTATGTCCAGGGATAGAGTGTGTGGAAAAGATGGAGTTACTTACCACCTAGACAGACACACAGCACCTACTTAACTTTGGGGTCCTTGCTGGTAGCCTCACTCAGGCAAAGGGGCTGTGATTTCAAGAGATTTAGGAAGTGAGGTTATGTTGGTGTCAGCAGCATCCCTGTGGCCCATGTCCTCTCTGGCTAGAGGGGATACCAGGGCTATTGGGACATTTTAGACAGCCCTTTGTGTCTCAGTTGAGGGACCAAGACTGTGGAAGCCAGAGGAACCCTAGTCATAATGCCCTGGATTCAGTGCCTTTTGCAGATGGGAAAGCTGAGGCTGAAGCTGAAAATGATCCACTGACATGCTTGCCCACTGTTGGCAGTTCTAGAAAAGCTTCCAGGCTTCACTGGGGACTCAAATGTAGCACTTGGATATAGTGGCCAATCATAGTCGAGATTTTAAATACACTGCATGTCAGTTCAATGAGGAGGAGCCCCGCAGGACACAGTGGCTGAAATACAGCGTGTAGAGTTAGGGAGGTTGTTACCCTGAGGTTCTGGAATGTTTCACTAGTGCTTGTTAGTAATCAAAACAGGGCTCGTTGAAGAAGTTATGGGCTAAGACTGCCCTCTAGTGGGCTCCTGGAGCCACTGACGACCTACACACATTCTCCACTTTGCCTGTTAAAACTAACCATTTACTTATTCATGTTCAACGTTATTGTCTTATACTGAGTGGATATACAGCAATTAATTCAGTGGCAGAAATTATTTTTTTAACCTTATCAATCACTCTGGCCCATCAGAGTGATGCACTTGACTGCTGAGAACCAGTTGTCAGCTGGTTATTTTATAACTGATGAGTTTTTTACCCCACGTTGAAGACATATTCCTTTCCTTGCAAGATGATTGTTGTGAGGTGCTGTCAGGTCAACTCACAGTGACTACATGTACAACAACAGAAAACCCTATACGAGCTTCACACCAACTTCACTCAGATCATGTCTTATGTCTGGGCTTTGATTAGCAGAGTATGAAATAAGAAGGCACATTGAGTTGGAGGGTGGGGGTGGTGAGAATTCCTTTCCCCTAACAAATAATCCCACGACTTCTCATTTGTTCCTAAAACATGCTAATCTGAGCTGTCTGATCAACAGCTTCCCAAGTTGTTGAGTCTTCCGAGAACGTCAGGAACACACTTTCCTGGGCCGGACTCCAGACCTGCTGAATCAGTCTCTGTGGTCAGAGCCAGGAAATCGGCTTTAAAAACTTCCCAAGTGGTTTTTGATGTGCAGCCAGCTTTGGCAGCCAGAGGCGCTCAGTCTCCTCTGACAATTACTCCGCGTCGCTTTTGTCCCGGGATCGTGTCTCCGGAGGTCTTCCGTTTGTGCCCATTATTAAACTTGCCCGCTTTGAGGTGTCATTCTGAAATGGTCTCCTCACTCTCATGCCTGCAGCCTGGGTGACGGGACAAGGAGCAGGCAGAGCCACAGGAGAGGAACCTCTGCTTCTCTGCTTGTACTCAGCGGCTTGTTTACCTATGTTTTGCTTCTGAGGTTTGGCTGCATATGGAGTACTCAGTTAGTTGCTCATGTTTGTGTATTCCAGGCCTTTTGATTCTCAGGCAACTCAGCTGAAGCAGATGGCATTGTCCTCTTTTTAACAGATAAGCAAATTGAGGCTTAGAAAAGTCACATAATGCACACCCATGTTTATTGTGGCTTTGTTCACAATAGCAAGGAGTTGGAAACAACCTAAGTGCCCATCAACAAACGAATGGATAGAGAAGCTGTGGTATATTCACACAATGGAATACTATGCTGCATTGAAAAACAAGGAACTCATGCAATATTATTCAAAATGGGTGACCCTGGAGGGCCTTATGCTGAGTGAAGTATTTCAGTTACAAAAGGACACATACTGCAACGTGCCACTGAAAGATGGGTTCACTAATGTATACTGCATTGAAAGAGATGAGGGAGAAAACTGTTCAAAAGGGATATATGATTAGGTATTTTTGTCATAACAGGAGTCCAGAGCAAAGGCTACATGGTGGAGTGGACCTGGGGGAGGGTTTGTAAAACAATGAAAGAATTTCTGTTTTACAAGAGGGTAGTGTACTAGGGGGGAGGGTTGGAAGGGGAGGAAAGTGCAACCATGAATGAATGGAAACCCAAAGTCTCTGTCAATTTTTACTGAAATTGATAATAAATTTTTTAAAAAAGAAGGGAAAAAAGTTCAATGGGGGAAAAAAACTAAAGCAAGGTTTACACACAGAATCACTCTGTACGGTTACTAGGGCAGGGAAGGGAGGAAGTAGGGAGTAAAATAATAAATAGACAATAAACATTAAGATGGGCGAAGGGAAAGGAAATAGACAATAAGCTGGTGTTCACATGATGTGGGTGTTGTAATTAATGTTGTAATTAAAACAAAATGTATGTGGAGGATTGAATAAAAAAACCCAACATACTTTATATAATAAAAATATATAAAAAAAGAAAAGTCACATAAGTAGATAGTTGTCAGGGCCCACTTCATATGGTTTCCGAGGCAGGTCAAGTGCCAAAGTGCTCACTGTCTTTAAAAAAAAAGTATTGATAATAATTGTGACCAATTCATAAGTAACACAGCTGTCTTTCTGTCCACCAGGCCAAGCGAGCAGTGCAGCGGGGAGCCACGGCAGTTATCTTTGATGTGTCGGAAAACCCAGAAGCTATTGACCAGGTAAACGGCTGCCAGGGCTGCCTTCCGCCTGGGAGACATGTCAGAGGTCTCCCACTAATTGCCCACGAGAGTTAACTTTCCACTCAGTGTACTGAGCAGGGTCTCGAACCAGCAAGTGTAAGGGGAAGAGGGCATCTTCAAAGACCCTTTTATGCCTCAGCCTGCTCTAGCCTTCATGGACCCCAAGGCTATAATGCCCGAAGACTTTGAGGACTCCCAAATGGGTAGTGTTATTTGCCACCAGCCTTTCTCTCCTGTTTTCTTAAAGTGAAGCATGGTTTCCTAACAGGCGCCCTCTCTTCTTCCTCCTCAGCTGAACCAGGGCTCAGAGGACCCACTCAAGAGACCCGTGGTGTACGTGAAGGGCGCAGATGCCATCAAGCTGATGAACATTGTCAACAAGCAGAAAGTGGCCCGAGCCAGGATCCAACACCGCCCACCCCGGGTGAGCCTCGCTGCTGGCCCCTGCCCAGCTGCCCACGGCGCCTGTGTCTTTGGGCCTCTTTTCTGTCTCAAGTACCAACACATGCCAGGTTTCATCAGTTTTCAGGCAGATGCAGGACTGGAGACCAGGGAGATAATCCACTCCATTGCCTTTCTGGAAAGGGCTCTTTTGGCATAATGGTAAGGAGCTGCACTACCAACACAGAGGCACACAGTTCTAATCCAGCAGTTGCACCAGAGGAGAAAGATGGTCAGAGTCTTCTGCTGTGTGATTAACTGCCACTGAAAACCCACTTGAGGGTCAGCTGTGGGTCAGTTCCAACTCCACAGTACACCACAACAACATGCCTTTATAGGGGATTTCAGGGCGGAAAAGGAAATAGTTCCCTGGTGGTGCATTAGTTAAGCACTTGGCCACTAACTGAAAAGTTGGCTGTTCAACGCCATCTTGTAGCTCCAAGGGAGAAAGACCTGGCGGTCTAAGTCTTGGAAAAATGACAGCCCGTAAAACCCCATGGGACAGTTTCTGTAATGTAGGGTCGACATGGGCAGAAATTGATTCAAAGACATCTGTGAACAAGCACCAAAAATAAACACATTTTACCTGATTTCTCTGGCGGCCTCTTGTGCCCCTTCCTCCTCTCTCCCATCTCCCAAAAGTAAACGGAAGGGACGGGCTGCCCAAGCCCTCGGCTTCCCCCACCACCTTCCTTTTTATACAGAAAAAGGCCTGTACTCCCTTCTACCATGAAGGGTAGATTTTCATACTGAAATCCCTCTACTTACACTTGGATCTGGAAGAGTAGCCTTGAACCTGAATTAAATTTCATGACCTCTGAGTAGTTTGTAGTTTCAACTTCTCTTGAGTGTGTTGAAGGGACACTGGTGTCTGGGAACTTGTGAGTGGCCTCTTGCCCACACCTCAGACTGCAGGACTCTGGGAAGCTGGGGCAGGTGCCTCATACGTGCTTTCTTGCATCCTCACAAACACGAGGATGTTCACATAAGATGATTCTTTTCATGTGCACAAACCATCTGGATACATACACGGTGTTCTGTTAGCAAACTGTCATAGACGCGTATTGTAGACGAGATGGCTTCGAGGTTGAAGGAGGCATCATGCCACGAGGGAAAGGTGAGACCTGGAGCTCAAGGAAGTTTGTAAGAGACTCCATTCATGGGCTTCAGGATCCTTAAAGGAAAATGGAGCTCACTGGTAACTATGACTCATTGTCGTGGAAGCTGATATTTGTGGAAGCAGCGTAAATTTTCAGAGTTGTTGTAAACCATTAATTATACAGCTAGTAATCACTGTTCCCTCAAAACATGACATTCACTCCTTTGTCCCCTAAATGCCATATCTGTGTTTATTTAGAAGGGCCTTTCCCACTCTCTTCAGCGCCTCTGTGAGCCCTTGTCTGTCAGGAGGCCTGGCCGAGGCAGCCACCCACGTCCCCCCGCCACACTGCAGGGCACGACCTGGGCTTCCCTGGTACATGTGTACCTGTTTTAGGATCCCATCGTCCCCACCCACCCAGTGCTGACAGCCCCGGTAACAACAGCAGGCTGATGAGAGGCTGGGACTAACTTTTGTCTGTTCTGTTGTAGCAACCCACTGAATACTTTGACATGGGCATCTTCCTGGCTTTCTTTGTCGTGGTCTCCCTGGTTTGCCTCATCCTTCTGGTGAAAATCAAGCTGAAGCAGCGACGTAGTCAGGTAACAGCTCAGCACAGCTTGGGACACTAGTGACAACAGAGCTGTGTGTGGTTTAAGGTCTGGCCCCTCTGTGGTTGAGCATCACCGCCGTGGGTGCCGAGCTGCACAGGCCTAGAAATGGGGGGGGGGGGACGACAAGGGCAGGATTTTCTGTGCTGCACTTTCTCTGTTCTAGAAGGGTCTTTCCCAGAAAGGCCAAGTATTGGGGTGTTTCTGACGTGGAAGCTTTACCAGTAGGATGTGCACATGTATACTGGGAACATTGTCACTCTGCCACTCAAGCGAGCTCCTGGGGCCCAGTGGTGTCAGCTGCCCAGGTAGCATGGTGGAAATGCAGAGTCTCGGGCCCCAGCTGGCCGAGTCCACATCAGCACTCGCACACTCTGCCGGTGCCTCCCAAAGAGCAGAGCGTGCCCAGTGGGGCTCCAGCTGGCACATGCATGTGTGTGCTCGGAGAAGGGAAGATGGCACAAGGGAGAGTGATGATTGTTTGCCAGTAAGCAGGAAACTCAGTCCTCAGACGTCCAGCAGTATGGCCTCTCAGGGAGAAGTGATCGATTGTGACAGGTGGGCCTCTTAAAGGACACTCCCTGGGCTCCCACCGGGGTCCAGTGGCCACCACAGACAGGCCAGCACCTGGGGTTTATTGAGTGGGTCCTGTCTGCCAGGTGTTTCCATGTGGGAGAGACCTAGGTTCACAGCCAGGGCTTTTCAAGCACAGCGTGCACTCGTTCTACTAGCAGAAACTCACATGTTGCTTTGGTGCCAAACAGGCTTCGGCAAAGCTTCTAGACTCAGGTGACCTAGGATGAAAGGCCTGGCAATGAAATCAGCTAATGACACCAGCAGAGTCATCATATGCATTTGCTCGTTCGTCCTCACGATTACCCTTCTATGTAAATAGGGGAACCCTTTCAATACAATGAGCGAGTAAGTCCAGGTCTTGCAGGCAAGCTAACGTCTGCCAGTCCTACTATATCAGTAAAGCTGGGTCCTTGTGATACTTTGGGGCACTGTAGCATCTCTGCGTGAGGCAGGCCCAGTGTTAACAGTTGTTCAGTCTGCTGTGGTCTGATAGAGATGTGCCTCAGCTGACTCGGTGCAGTAAGTGCTGTGGCCACGAGGGAGACCGCCAGGCCCTTACGTAGGCACATCCTGCTTTGCTTGCAGAATTCCATGAACAGGCTGGCTGTGCAGGCTCTGGAGAAGATGGAAACCAGGAAGTTCAACTCCAAGAGCAAGGGTCGCCGGGATGGGAGCTGTGGGGCCCTGGACACACTCAGCAGCAGTTCCACGTCTGACTGTGCCATCTGCCTGGAAAAGTACATTGACGGAGAGGTAACGGCAGAGGCCAGGCTGTTCTGTGCAGGGGTGAGGGGCCTCGTCAGCAGAGCACCCCCAAGGTCTCTAGGAGGTGGCTCGAGAAGAGGGCAGCCACAGGGCAGAGAGAGACTCTACTGTCCTGAGGACCTCCAAACAGGGGAGACTTCGGGTACCATTGCCAGTCTGTGTGTGGTCTGAGAATACTCTTACTTGTTGGCTGTTTCAGAATCACCCTTCTGCGAAGTCTAGGACTTGATTATTGTTATTGTGATACAAACCTCTCCTAAAGAGATTAGTGAGATGCTGGACCATTTTCCTTACAAAGAGACAAGTGCTCTGACGCTCCCTCCTTTCTGCTAGCTTTTATTTTTAAATCTTCCACCCCTTAGAAGAGTCGTGAGAATCATAGAAATGAATGGACTCCTATTCACCCCAAATCACAAGTTGTTAACATTTCACACTTGTTTAATCTCTTTTTCTCTAGATAGATACATAGACCTGTTTCAGGGAGGATGGAGGATCAACCAAATGTTTTGAGAATTGTGGTTATGTGCCAAGTTAAAACAAAGTCAAGGCTGACCCAAGGATTTTCAGAGGCTGCAAATCGCAGGAGGAGATTTCCTATTTTCCTCCCTCCGAGTGGCTGGTAGATTTGAGCCACCTGCTTTGGGGTTGGCAGCACAACTCCTTACTCACTAGACCACCAGCAGAGTTCCCCTTTGAGAACTGTTGTAGTGGGAACTGACCAGTAGCTGACCCTCCAGTAGGTTTGCAGAAGCAGTAAATCACATAGGAAGAGAGGGCCCATCTTTCTCCCTCAGAGCAGCTGGTAGATTCGAACCACGTATCTTTGAGTTGCCAGCACAGCTCCTTACCATTAGGCCAACAGACCTACCTTTTGAAAATTAGCTCTAGATATTTTAATAACTCTTTGAACATAACTCCACTGCTGAATAGACTAGGTGAAAAGTGCCTTTGGACTAATGAAAATTGTCCCAAAGCCAGTTTTCCACCTAGGGACTAGGTGCAATCAGTTAAGCACTCAGCTAACTAAAATGTTAGCAGTTCAAATCCACCTAGAGGTGCCTTGGAAGAAATGACTGGTGATCTACTTCTGAGAGGTCACAAACTACAAAAACCTTTTTGGAGCACTGCTCTGTGTCTGAATTAACTCAGTGGCAACTTGGGTTTTGGATTTGATACAGTGGAGACCTGCACAGATGTGGTGTCACTTTGTGACTTTGTTCTCTGTGCACAAATATGTGACCTGGACGTGAGACTGCCTTGTGCTGCAGGTTGTCGAGACCCAGCTAGCCATCCTTGCTTGGCGTTCGGTGTTTTCCTATTCTCGGCTCAAGGGGTGAAGAACAAAGCAAAGCACGTTTAGAGGGTGCTTGGACTCAGGCGCCCCAGGGATGGTTCTGTCTTAGCAAGCACATCCCTTCCTCATCACATAGACTATTTTTGTTAGAAATGTGCCTCATGGCTAACACTCACCCATGAGTGACTTGTTTCTGTCACTTAGGAGGCCTGCATCTCTTCCTCTCTACTTGTCCCCATCTGGGGTACCTGGAGGCACCCACCATCCCAGAGATGCAGAGATATTGGGGCATAGCACTAACCCTTTATCCACAGCCCCAGGCCCCCCACCCCCACCCTCTAACACCAGACTCCTTTAACGGCTGCATCTGTATGGAGAGAGGTACGAGAAGGAGTGTTCTCCAGTACAGCAGAGGAACTTGCTTCCACATGCTCCTCTCCCTTCAAATTGAAGGCTGTGTTTGGAGCTGACTGTTGGGCAGTTTTCCACTCCCTGGAGGCCATCTATAGCTGGCTATGGGAAATAGGGAATACCCACAGATGGAGGAAATGCACCCCTCAGGGGAGGCAAGCTGAACAGGGCTTTGATCAGTGGAAGCTTCTGGATCAGTGGCTTCTACGAGGTTGAAGGCCCCCTGGCCCCCTGGCCTGGGCCCTCCTTTCAGACTACATCCTCTTGCCTCCCCTCCCAGGAGCTGCGAGTCATCCCCTGCGCTCACCAATTCCACAAGAAGTGCGTGGACCCCTGGCTGCTGCAGCACCACACCTGCCCCCACTGTCGGCACAACATCATAGGTAATGCAGGGCCTACTGAGGGTGTCACACGCAGAGCTGTCACCACATTGCTTCTGGACGTGGCAGCCTGGATCGTGAACCCTTGGAGGTTGGCCCCGCAGGCTCTGGGGACGCTGGGCATCTGTCATGAGCCGCTTTCCTGGCTGTGTGTGTTTGGCCTCCCAGGGCCTGAGGCCACAGTTCAGCAGTAGGGATGCTTGCTCTCACAGTCCCGCAGGACCATTGTAGGGCCACACATGAGAGTGCCATGCTAGGCATGTGACACTGCTACTGCAGCACCGTATTTCTAGACAGGGCCCTGCGGGGAGCTGTTTTCTGTAGAAATCTTTCTCCTCATGCACACACCAGGCATGGGAGTGGGAGGTGGCGATGTTCCTCACATGGAGAAGCATGTCAGCCTCAGCCAATGCAAGCCAGTGACCACTTGGAATAGGCCTGGTGGTCAGAGTGGGAACCTTGGCACGTGATAAAGCAGCTGCTGCAAGCTCTCCCCTTATCTGGCCCCCCAGCCCTCCAACCTGTGTACTCAACCCACTTGCTCTGCTTCCTCTTCCAGAACAAAAGGGAAACCCAGGTGCCGTGTGCGTGGAGTCGGGCAACCTCTCTCGGGGCCGGCAACAGCGAGTCATCTTGCCGGTCCATTACCCCGGCCGGGTGCACAGGACCAACGCCATCCCAGCCTACCCCACGCGGACGAGCATGGACTCCCACGGCAACCCCGTGACGCTCCTCACTATGGACCGGCACGGGGAGCAGGGCCTCTATGCTCCGCAGACCCCCGCCTACATCCACAGCTACCCGCCCCTCCACCTGGACCACGCGCTGGCCGCCCACCGCTGCGGCCTGGAGCACCGGGCCTACTCGCCCGCCCACCCCTTCCGCAGGCCCAAGTTCAGTGGCCGCAGCTTCTCCAAGGCAGCTTGCTTCTCCCAGTATGAGACCATGTACCAGCACTACTACTTCCAGGGCCTCAGCTACCCGGAGCAGGAGGGCCAGCCCCCACCCGGCCTGGCCCCCCGAGGCCCAGCCAGGGCCTTCCCATCTGGCGCTGGTGGCCTGCTCTTCCCCAGCGGGGCACATGTGGCGCCCCCGTCCCACCTGGAGAGTGGCAGCACGTCCAGTTTCAGCTGCTACCACGGCCACCGCTCGGTGTGCAGCGGCTACCTGGCCGACTGCCCAGGCAGCGACAGCAGCAGCAGCAGCAGCTCGGGCCAGTGCCACTGCTCCTCCAGCGACTCCATGGTGGACTGCACGGAGGTCAGCAACCAGGGCGTGTACGGCAGCTGCTCAACCTTCCGCAGCTCCCTCAGCAGCGACTATGACCCCTTCATCTACCGCAGCCGCAGCCCCTGCCGCACCAGCGAGGCCGGTGGCTCAGGCCGGGGGCCGGCAGTACCCCTCGAGAGTTCCCCACCACCTGAGGAGCTCCCGGCGGGGCACAGTCGGGGCACAGGCCAGGGAGAGCCTTGGCCCGGGCCGGCCTCGCCCTCGGGGGACCAGCTGTCCACCTGCAGCCTGGAGATGAATTATAGCAGCAACTCGTCTCTGGAGCACAGGGGGCCCAACAGCTCTACCTCAGAAGTGGGGTTCGAGGCTTCTCCGGGGGCAACCCTGGACCTCAGGAGGACCTGGAAGGGGGGCCAGGAGGGGCTCACATGTTCCTGCTGCTTTGAGCCCCCACCCTCTGCACTGGAGCCTGGTGCAGGTGTGGCCGACAGTGGCCCCTTGTTCTTGGGCGCCCCCCTCTGTGAGGGCTGTGGCCCCTCGGGTGGGGAACCACTGTTGGGACACCCCCAAGGTCTGCATGGCCTTCACCCAGACCATTTGGCCAGGACAGATGGGGTTAAGTACGAGGGCCTGCCCTGCTGCTTCTATGAAGAGAAACAGGTGGCCCGCAGCGGGGGCGGCGGCTGCTACACTGAGGACTACTCCGTGAGCGTCCAGTACACACTCGCTGAAGAGTCCCCACCCAGCTGCCACCCGGCACCCCGGGACCTGAGCCAGCGTATCCCCATCATCCCCGAGGATGTGGGCTGTGACGTGGGCCTGCCCTCGGACTGCCAAGGGGCCCAGTGCTACCACCCCTGGGGCGAGACGCCAGGCCCCAACACCCCACAACCCCAGTGGGGCCTGTGCGCTGCCCGGGAAGGTGAGCAGGCATTGGGCTGCCCTCCCGAAGAGAAGGGGACCCCGAGGGCCAGCTTCCTTGGTGCCCATCAGGCCACTCAGGAGTCTAACACGATGGCCATGGAAGCTGCAGGTGAGAGCAGGTGACGGGCAAAGCAGACATGCCCACCGGGTTCTTCCCTCTGTCTAGTTTATTTTCTGAGCACCTCCATTTGTGTCCCTGAGTAAAAGGATTATCTGTACCTTATGCCGTCTTCCATCCAGCCCTGCCCTCTCAAATGTCCCAAACTGCATGACCAACATCACTCTCGGGTCCCTCTCCCTAGAGAGTCTCCAAATTCCAGGGTGCTGTGCCTCTTACACTCTGCAGCCTGCAAGTGTGAGCTGGGCCAGCAGTATCCAGAGGAGCACTTTGTCTTGTTTCTACCCCAGTCTATCAGCCACTGATCCTTTTCTTTAAATATGATAAGGGAGGGACGGGGTCGGGGTGGGGGTGGGAATTAACACAAGGCATGGAAGGTACAAACTCAGTTTCCTTTTTTTTGTTAGGGCGCTCTGGTGGCCCAATGGGTAAGGAGTTGTACTGCCAATACAAAGGCAGGAGGTTCAAATCCACCAGCTGCTCCGTGGGAGAAACACATATACTTGCTTCCCATGTTGTTTAGAGCCTCTGAAAAGCCTCTGGGGGTCAGCTATGAGTTGGTCAGACTTGATGGCACATATCAAAAATAACAGATATGGTTAAATTATTATATCATTTCCAAGCGTTTTGTCTCTGGCAATAGTAAGGTGAGCAGTCTAACCGCTATGAGACGCACTGGGGTCTTTTCACCTCTAGAATCGTTCCCAGATGCATCTGTTCTGCCTGCTCTCAGCCCAGCCCAGCTTCTCTTCCAGGGCACATGCACTACCTTCACTCCATTCTCTGCAGAGAGCCAGTGTGGCCATTTGTGGAAGTCCAAGTCTCCGCCTTATGCTAGAAAACCCTTCATTGATTTGCAGTGACCTTTAGCATTTTGAGAATCCAGGTCTGTGTGACCTAGCCCACACCTACTCTTACATTACATCCTGTCTTTTGCCTAAGCCCCCTGCATCTGTTCATCCCTTCAGTGTGCCGCACTGGCCTCCATCCACAGACCTCTCCACTCCTGTCAGGTCAACTCAGGTGTCTCCTGCTCCCTACGGGGACGTGTTGTCCCCCTGCCCTCACTTTCTTCCTTGGGGTCATCACAGTCAGAAAGTACTTTGTTTCCATCATGATGGTGTCTTCTTCATTGTTCTCCTCTCAACTCTGGGCACTGGGCCGCAGCTCCTCTCATGCTGTGCCTTTTCACACCCCCAGAGGCTCCTCCAAGGCTCTGTGCCTCCAGTAGGTACCTGTGCCTTTAACAGGTGACCCCCTCAAGAGTGTCCCCAGGGTTGTAAGCTGTCACTACTAGCCTATCCCCTCTGTCCCCCCACCTCCATCACAGGCCAGGGATTTCCCATCCAAGAGGAGGGGACAGAGCCCACCCCAAAGCCCTGTTCCTTCCCACAACAATGGATTGTTCTCTTCTCCAGGATCAGGACCCCACCCCGCAGACAGCAGCAGCATGGGAACCTGAGCACGGAAGCATCTGGAAAGGGGAAACTGTACAGAGACTCCAAATTCTTGACTTCATAAAGAAAGAGAATCTTTTTTTTTTTTTTAGCTTTGACAAACACACAAAAGTGGTAATAAGGAGAGCCCTCCTTCTCAGCCCGGAATGTGAGCCACTGTCTGGCGCAACCACCCCGTTCCCCTCTAACCAACCAACAGACGAAATTCTGAGTCCTTTGCCTCTTTTAATAATGTTACCCTCTCTGTTCTGTAAAAGTGTGTGTGCTTGGGGTTTCGAGGTATGTGGGATTGCATTCTTGGCATTGTCGTCGTTGTCGTTTTAATATTATGTGTAAATGTAAAAAGTTATTTAAATATATATATTTTAAAGAACCTTCATCGTCAACTTTTGCTGAAAAGAGGAAAAAAATCTCACGCTGCATTAAATGAACCACATCATGTGTAAGATACTGTTGTTCTCCCCAGGGGGAGCTCAGGCCTTTGAAAAAGCTCAGGGCTACACCTGCCTTAGAAAATGAACCAGAAACTTGAAGTAAAGCTAGTTGATATGGGTACATAGTCGGAGGAACAATGCAACGCTGCCGCTTCTCTCGCTGCAAATCTCACTGTTAAAAATTCAGGTCCGTTCATAAGCCATCAGCCTGGCTGCCCGCACCTCTAGGCCAGGCATGGAAACAGGACGAGGGTAGAAGCAGCGAGGAGGAGAGTCGGTAATTACTACAGGGCTCCGAGAGATTATTTCATCACCCGGAGTAAAACGTCCAGGTCAGGGCAGCGGGCGTGGGGCCTCTCAAGTCTCCTAAATGACCCCAGAGACAAAGCAAAGAGTCGCCTCTAATGGTGGCAACCCTTCAGTGGTCTCAGCTTGGGAATCATTTGCAGAAATGTTGAGCTTCCAGCCACTGGCTGCAGAAATGGTTCGATGGGCTGTGCAGTGGCAGATGCCCAGGGGAGAATGTCAGGGTGTTGTGGCCTTGAGACGCAGGGGGTGCCCTAGACCTGCTGGGCACGTGCTAGTGAATAGGGGAGGCGGAGCTCTGACATGAGCTTGTGTGCGCATGTGCCTTTGGGGCCTGGTCACGCCCCCTGGAGCGGCCCACCCTCAGAAACAAGGAGGGAACCCAGCCCGTGTGGGTGGGACGTTTCCCATCCGGCTGTTTCCCGTGGAAGCCACTCATGGAGGAGGTGATTCAGGCCTCACACAGCAGGGCTGAGATCCCTCGTCTCGCCTGGAAATGTCTACTATCCAGTCTACTTAATGCACTATAATGTATTGATTCACCACTAGACAGAAAAAGACTATCAGATAGTTTAGACCCAAAGGGTAGACTTTTGAGTATTTTTCCAACTTTTTTTTAAAGGGGCAGGGAGAGTTTAAAAACACAAAGCAGGTGGTTTTTTAGGAGGTTAGGGGTGGGTGGGTTTAAAAGACATTTCCATTTTAAAAGGGAGAGAATCTATTTAAAGCTGTTTCCGATCAGGGATTATTAACCTTGTGTTCATTGTTGTCTTTGCTCTTCTCTTTCCAAAATCGTGTTTAAAGGAAACATAGCTAGCTGCATTCGCCTTTAGCCCTCGCTAAGGGACCTCTGGTGGCATGGTGGGTAAAGAGTTGTGCCGCCAACCCAGAGGCAGGAGGTTTGAATCCACCAGCCATCCTGTGGGAGAAAGTTGGTCTCTCTCTTATCCTGCAACGTACAGCCTCTGAAAATCCGCTGGAGGGTCAGCTACAAAGGCAATGAGAGAAAGTCAGAGTCTTAGGTGTGCTATATCTTCCAGTCACTTGTGTGAGATCAAGGAGGATTTGGGACTCTTCGGAAGCGTTTGACCTATTGGGTGGTAATGGCATAGCCTGACCCAGTAGGTAGGCAGATAGGGACCACCCGCCAGTGACAGGGGCAAGGCTTTCCAGCCAAACTGTGAAGTTCACACAGCCCATACCCTGCCATCAACCAAAAACCTCTTGAGAGAAATCCTTTCTTCTAACAACCCAATTTGTGATGAACAATTTGCTTAGTTCTAACCAAGCTGAAATTGTTGCCACTTCCGGTAACTGGGCCGTTTGCCATATAGATTGTGGCTGTGGTAAAGTTTGGCCTCTAGCCTCTGGGGCGGTCCCCTGGGGCCTGAGCCCTCTGGACTGTGCCTGGCCAGCACACCTGTTGGCGAGGGTGTGAGAACCCTAAGCCCTTGATATCTGATCCAGCCGCCTTTATGTCTTGGGCCAGAAGTGGCAGCTGCTGAGGACAACAGTTTGCGTGACATGGTTTCAGGGATGGGGGTATAGTTGGCTTTTAACATGAACTACAAAAAGCGGCTTCTCACGGTTGAGAATATTTTTGTGGTTTTGATTCCCGCCCCCGGTTTTGTTTTTTAATGCCATTAAGTGAGTATTATCTTTCTTGTCTGGAATCACACTGCTACAGTGGCTCTCTGCAGTCCTGGCTGAAAAACCACAACTTACACAATGAATAAATAAGTAGTGATGATGGCTTCACTGGGCTTAATTAAATAAATGAGGAGAAAGCTATAGAGGAGTAAAAGAAACGTGTGTGTGTTTGTGTGTGTGTTTATTAAAGGTAGCAACAGGGAAAACCTTATTTTAAACCTTAAATGTTCGCAGTTAATAAATTTTTTGTCAGCTCAGCAGACATAGAGATGACCAGACTAAATAATCAATGCTATTACTATCTCCCCTTTTAAAGGCAAAACAAATGTCTTCTTAAAAGTTGAAAGGCTGCAATAGCAGTGAGAACTTTATTGGTGGACCCTCTGTGGTGTGTGGCATTTACAGTCAATACTGTGAGAGCTGGAAATCCCAGGATGGCCTCCTTTTCTGAGATCTTGCTGGAAGGTCGGCCATTCCCAGGCCCTGGCTTTCACAGGTTTTAATATATCTAGCAATGGAAACTGGAAACACCGGATTTTCCACAAAGAACCTCCTCTCACCCCCTCTGCCTTTGGACGTGTTCCCAAGGCCCAGCCCTCTAGGACAGCCATGTAAAGGGAAGAATGCTAGAACCAGTTAGAAATGGGTATTTGGGTGTGCTGGCTGTTGAGGGACCTCTTGTGTAGACACAGCTCCAGCAAACTGGCTTGAACTCTGTCAATTCCTTCCCCTTCTCCAAACCCAAGCCATTTTAGAAAATCCTGCCTGCCGCCCTACAGTTCAGTCCCTTCCTTGCATGCTGCTAGCCTCTGCTCTGAATTCCAACAGGACTAATGTTTTTAAAATGAGGTCTGAGAATTACTACTCAAGAGTATTTAAAACAGAGCTGCCTTTTTCTCCTTTATATAACCTCTTTCTATTGTGTTGATCTAACAAGGCACTATTTTAAATTTTTTTTTTTATTTCTCCCATAGCACTTAAAAGAGATTTTGTAAAAATTTTGCTGTAAAACTTTTGTAATGAAATTGTCTAAGGGCTCTTTCTCCAACATTACCATTTTTTTAAAAATGTTTTAAAAGCTAGAAAACAACTTATGTATATTCTGTATATGTATAGCAGCACATTTCATTTATGGAAATATGTTCTCAGAATATTTATTTACTAATATATTTATCTTAAGCCATGTCTTATGTGGAGAGTGACATTGTTAGAATAATCATTGAAAATGACTAACATGAAATCCTGTAAATATATGATAATTGCACACAGATTTTACATATTTGCCGACCAAAAATGATTTAAAACAAGTCTAGTCTTCTATGGTTTTGTAACAAATTGTACAAATGACTGTAAAAAAAAATACAATTTTATCGAATACATGTTATACTTTGTTGTTTTGCTCTGCGGGCTTAAGGTCTTCAAGTACTCTTTGAAGCCAATGTTTGCTTTAGCTTCAACTTACTAGAACATAGAAACATCAGTCAGATTTTCTGAATTATTGGGGGTGGAAGTTGATATCTCAAGAGATGGGCCACTGGGAGTAGTGCTGCTTGACCACCTTGCGCTGGTGGTGGAAGGAAGGTCTGATAGTTTGGTCTAAAGAGTTCCTTCTGCTGCTTACCCCAAGGCTATAGGTACCTCTAATGGTTACATTCAGCCCGGGGAAAGATGAACATTCTCCTCTATGCGATTTAAAGCCTTAGAAATCCAATGGAAGGTCAGTTTTGAGTTAGTTCTTCAGCTCGGGACAATGAGCTTATATGAATGGTGGTAGAGGAAGCTCTGGTGGCTTCTTGTTAGGTGTCACTGAGTCGAGAACAACTCCGAGTGACCCTATAAACAGCCAACCTGGCCCCTGCCATCCTGTGCCATCTCTTACCATCTGACACACCGTTGCTGAAGTCACCGTATTAGTCCATCTCATTGAGGGTCTTCCTCTGCTAACCTTCCATCTTTCTAAGCATGATGGTCGTCTCCATGAAGCCTCGTCTAACTACATGTCAAAACTATGTGAGATGAAGTTTTGCCACCCACTCTGGCTGCACCTTCTCCAAGACATACCTGTTCGTTTGGACCTCCATTGGGTATTCAGTATTCTGCAGGACCACAACTAGTACTTCTCACCCAAAGGCTGCATGTCTGGCTATTCGAGTCCATCAAGAGGGAGAAAGATAGGCAATCTCCCCATAAAGATTGACAGCTTCAGAAACTGGATGGTGGGCTCTGAATTGAAACCAACTCAAGGCCAATCAGATTGAGTTTTGTTGATGGAAGATGGAACTACACTTTCTGCACATCAAGTGGAGGGAATGACAGAAAGTAGAAGCTGATGTCCACATTCTTTTTTTTAATAACTGTAAAATTTTACAATATAAATCACTGCAAAAACTTTATAAGAAACAACAAAACAAAACAAACCCAAAACATTTTCACCCCTTGCTCCCACCTCTTGCCCCTGTTGGATCCCCATATACGTTTTACTCGTTATCCTTCTGTTTTTGTAATGATGGCCTTATGCAATATCTGTGTGGGTGCCAGCCCATTTGAGAAATGAGTTTTCTTTGTCATGTTAATAAGGCCACTGTGACCTGCATAGCTTCTGAGTAATAAAAGAAGTGCAGAAACCAGGACAAAGAAAGTGGGGCAGACAGGTGTCATGGGGAGACCACCAAGGAATTGAAGAACGATGAGGCAGAGAAACTGAAAAATCTATCCCCAGAGATAACAGAGGGCTTTCTCTGAGAGCTGGAGCCGTGAGTTTGACATTTTAACCTCCTAAACTGAGAAGATAAGCTACTGTTCTTTAAAACCACCCCACTTAAGGTGTTTCTGTTCCAGCAGCACTGAGACTATATAGAGAGATAAATACTGAGAGTATATAGATCAAGGAACCCTGCTGGTACAGTGGGTTAATGTTTGGGGCTGGTAATGAACTCAGGTCAGCAAGACAGCCAGTCTCCTCATGGGAAGATATATAGTCTTGGAAACCCAATGGAGGGTCATTATGAGTCAGAAGCAACTCAGCAGTGGTGGGTTGGGTTAGGGTTGGGTTTTATATAGGTCAGGGAGCTCCATCAACTTCATCCGCCAGAACTTTTCCTACCTGAAAGTTCTGGCTTTGGTGGTGGTAGACGCAGTCAAGTCGACTGCAGCTCATAGCCACCTATGAACAACATTGTCCTCCATCCCCACCATCTCTTGTCATGCCCAAGCCCACTGTGGTGTCACTGTGTCGATCCACCTTGTTAAGGATCTTCCTCTTTCATGGCCCCCTTGCCTTTCCTGGCTTGATGGCTCTTCCTAAGGCCTAAGTTCCTCCTGAAACTATGCCCCAAATAAGCAAGACCATATGTAAGAAAATAAGTGAGATGATTAGTTTCACCATCCTTGTCTCCAAACACTCTGGTTGCACTTCTTCAAGACAGATCTGTTCTTTTGGCATTCCATGGTATATTCAATACTCTTCACTCTCAAGCATCTGTAAGAAAAGGGCCAGGCCTACAGCCCCAAGCAACTAGTCCTTAGAAAGAACATCAAGGGAATGGAGAGACACCCTCAGCCTTGAGGTTATTTTCCTGGGAGGGAAGCCACTGATGTGTAAAGCACCCTGAGACCACACAGAATGTGCAAAGTAGTGTTTATTTTTCAGATGCCTTGCAGAGAAGACATGAGCCTCATGGAGCTCCTATTAGTTACTCCTTAACTTGGGCCATTTCTTCAGCCCTAGCCCCTCTTTGACATGAGGCCACTGCCCGCCCAGTGACGGGTCTTGGGCACCTTCAGGGACGGCATCCTGACTGCACAGGGCCTCCCAGAGCTTCTGCTTGACAGCCTTGCCCAGCTCCAGGCTGTACCTCTTGGGGGTCCCTGAGGGCTTCCGCAGCATTGGCTCCACCACGGCGTGGTACAGAGCCCGGTAACCCTCAGTGGGGAGACCGTGAATGGTGAGTGTGTCCTCCGACGACTGAAGCCTCATTCTGGCTTCAGGAAGCTGGGCCTGAGCCTCCCAGGCTGCTACCCTGCTGTCCCAAGGGAGCGATTGGGTGGCGGCCACATGTTCGGCATATCTGGCCTCAAGATCTTGGCGGGAGCTGGCTTTTCTCTCCTTTGAACTTTCCTTCCTCTAGCCAGGAAGAAAGAAGAGAAGTCAAGCCCCAAACCCGAGAAGGGTGCTCAGAATAATTCTCTGGGATTTGTGTCCCTGTGTCTTGGTTACGACAACAACCAGCATTTGTCTATCGTGTTCTAGCTGACTGAGAGCTTCCATGTGTCCCCTCTATGCCATGTGTTCCCTGAGACCATGTAAGGTCAGCAGGGCAGCTTTAAAGGCAAGGACATCGAACTTGATGTGCTCAAGGTCACACGGCTACAAGCTTTGTGCAGCTAAGCTGTTGTGACTTAAGCCATTCAAAAGCCCTTTGCAAGCAATGGCTCTTGGTCCTTATAAAGGGCAGCGCCTCTACTCCCTCTTTTAGAGATGGCAAAATCAAGGCACAAAGAGTTAATGGGCCCAAGGCCATACTCTATTTGTCAGGGCTGAAATTTGGACCTCTACTATCTATGTATGGTGGCCTAGTGGTAAGGCGTTGGGCTGGCAACCAAAAAGTACGTGGTTCAAAACCAGCAGCTGAGAAATATGAGCATCAAGAGAAATATGGTCAGTCTCCCCCTGTGCAATTAACTGCCTCGGAAAATCCACTAGAGAGCCAAATGTGAGTTGGTTCCAATTCGATGTTATACAACAACAGGCTTGTATGGAATGACAAAGCTAGACTCAACCTTACAGACTACATCAAGTTCAATGTCCCCGCCATTAAAGCAATCCCAGAAAACACATGACCTGGCAAACATGGACGGTCACAGAGCTCTAATTCACACCTGTGTATATGGTGGGGAGTGGGAGGGTATATTCCCTCAAAGGTGCGTACATGTTAACAGTAGCCTAACTTTAAACTGGGGCGCTCTGGTGGCCTAGTGGTAAGATGAGGCACTGCCAACCCAAAGGCATGCAGTTTAAACCTACCAGCTGCTGTTGTTATTGTTATGTGCCGTCAAGTCACCTGCATCTCATGGCGACTCTATATACAACAGCCCTGAACCCTGCTCTATCCTGAGCCAACCGTATCATCTCTGACACACCTACCCCTACTACCCCAGTCACTGAATCAATCCATCTCATCGAGGGCCTTCCTCTCTTGTGCTGCCCCTCCACCCTCCCAAGCATGATGTCACTCTCCAAGGACTGCTCCCTCCTTGCAACATGTCCAAAGTATGTCAGACAAAGGTGTAGATTCCAAGGAGAAGTTTGGTTTCACCCTCTCAAGGATGAATCTGTTTGTTCTCCTAGTGGGAGTAAAAGACGGTTTATCTCCTCCTGTGTGATTTACTGCCCCTGAAAACCTGCTGGAGGGTCAGCTATGAGTCAGCTCTGACTCAATGATACATAACAACAGCCACCTTTCAAACCCTTTTGCACTCTTCCCCTATTTTCCCTTCATGCTAAGTTATCCTTGCCTGTGCTTGCCAACAGCCCCTTCTTTTTATAGGACACCTGTGGCTGCTAAGTAAGTGGTAAGGAGTTGCGCTGCCAACCCAAACACAGGTGGTTCGAATCCACCAGCTGCTCTGTGGGAGAAAGATGGGCAATCTCCTCCCCCACGAGTTTAGCCTCTGAAAACCCACTAGAGCTATGAGTCAAGTCTGACTCAACAGCACACAACAACAACATCCTTTTGTAGAAGTAGCCCTGATCTTGTACCTTCACCGCTCTGGACCACCCACCCGCTCCCATCCTGTCTTTAACTCCAGCCTCCCCAGCTTGGTATAACTCTCAATTGCTTATGTTTACATGTCCTCTGGCTTTCTTGTGTCCTCTCTTCATCCTCTGCTCTCTACTGTTAGTCACCATCTACCTACCTGGCTGATGCCGCCTGCTGGCTGTTTGCGTCTGAGCTCTTCGGACTGCAGCTCGCCTGGCAGCTGGCTCTGGGAACGGACGGAAGTCGTTGGTCTGGGCTCTTGGGTGGTTTCCACCACTGGGCCCTCCTTGGGCTTGAATCTCTTGGAGGGCTTTGCTTGTTCAAGCGTGTGCGGCACAGGGCAGCCACATTCATCCTTCAGTTGACGTCTGAGTACAAGCTTCACCAGAGAGAAGGAGCTGCTGGCAATTAACGGATTCTTGACGACTTCCCAAGAAGAGGTGGGCGGTGTTGCGGGGGCACCAGGGCCCTGCCTTGCACACTTCCTGGGCGTCCATGTGTTGGTGAGAGCTGGTGAGTCCACGTAGCAGTCCTGGAGCCTGGTGTTCAGTAGGATGGACTGTCTCAGGCCATATGTGGGGATGCTGGGGTCTCGTCTCACATAGACTGGATGCTGGAATTACAAGAGGGGGAAAACAGCAGTAACAAAAGACCAATCATCCGAAGAACTGCTTGGAAGGCAAAGTATTAACATCCACATTGCACATAGGAATCTCTCTATACATGTTTCTTCCAGCTCACCAAAACCTTTTATACCCAGAAAGGGCAAGATCCGTATTTCACAAGGTCACAGTGACATCTAGGCACTGGGAGGACATACAGGGGCAGGAAGTGGGGGGTTCAGGAACCCAATAAAGAAGGAATTGAAAGCAATTCCTGTCTGCTGGAGAAGATGAGAGAATTGGTGGCTTCAATCAGCTCCAGTGTCACTCAAGGCCTTTCTACAAATTAAAGTCACCTCTGAACCATGTCACACCCCTGAACTGACAGCAGATACAAGGCCACCGCATACTGAATGCATCTTCCAGCCAGAGAGCCACAGGCCAAGAAAAACTACTTGCTTCAAAGGGAAAGATACTCTATAGTCTTTAAAGGCCGAAAAATGTATAAGGTGAATGCTATTCTTCCCTTTCCTGGCTCCCGCCAAGAGCAAAAGAACAATTTGATTAGATAAAAATCACATACTTAAGGATGCCTGACTTTCTAAGAAATGCCATCATAAAATACAAAAGTACCTTACCATATTCAGTTGCTTTAAATTTTATTTTAGCTAGCTTAGTAGGGGGCAAAATAATGTAATTTCTTGTTTCTTTTTGTTTGTTTGTTTTGTCCTTCTTTTAGTTTTTTTTTAAATTATTAATTTTTGGTTATTTTTAAAAATATACATTTCTAGTCACCTTTCTCTGCCTAGTCGTCTGTGGACAAATTGCAGCTTCTGGTTCATGTGCAGGCAGTTTTGAACCATTATCCCTAGTATTTGTGATGTCACTTGGGTTTGTGATGTGGGTGTGCCTGAGTGTTATGTCATCAGATCTGCTGGTTAAATTATTTTGGGAGAAGTTCCATTTTGCTATGCTTATCGCCACAGGTGTTTTTGTTTTTTAATGGGGTTTGTTGTTGTTGTTATGTTTTATTTTCCCTCTTTTTTAAAAAAATTGTAATTTTAATGAAAGTTTACAGAAAAGTTGGGTATTCATGCATTCATTGTTGCATATTTTTCTCTGCTTGCTATGAATTGAAGCTCAACATCGAGAAAACAAAGATTCTCAACACTGGGCCTATTTGGCAGCATCATGATAGACGTTGAAGAGACTGAGATTGTTGACAGCTTCAGTTTGCTTGGCTTCACAGTCAACACTCTTGGTACCAACAGCCAGGAAATGAAAAGATAAATTGCATTGGGAAAGTCTGCTGTCAGAGATCTCCTCAACATACTGAAGAGCAACGACATCAGTCTGGAGACTAAGGTGCACATGTTTCAGGCCATGGTCTTTGCAATTGCTTGCTTTGCATCAGAAAGTTGGACAATGACTAGGGATGATAGAAACAGAATTGATGCCTTTGAGCTGTGGTCGCTGCAGGAGAGTAGTGAATATACCATGGATGACTAGAACAAACACATTCGTCCAAAAGAGGGTGAAACCAGACTGCTCCTTGGAGGCAAAGATTCTGAAATTTCGTCTGACATACTTTGGACATGTTGCAAGGTGGGACCAGTCCTTGGAGAGGGACATCATGCTTGGGAGGGTGGAGGGACAGTGCAAGAGAGGAAGACCCTCGATAAGATGTATCGATGCAGTGACTGCAGCAATGGGCACAGCAGAGTCTGAGGATGCCATAGGATCAGGCAGGTTGACATAGATCGGGGCTGACTCAGTGGCACCCAAGAACAATAATCTTCCTCGAAGGAGCCGTGGGGGCACAAGGCAGCACTCAGCTGCAAACCCAGAAGTTGGTGGTACATCATAGGTGAAATGGCCTGGTGGTAATCTGCTCTGTAAAGGTTGACAGCCTAGGAGACCCTGTGGGCCAATTCTTCGCTGACCTATCAGGTGCTGAGTTGAAAGCTACTCAAAAGATGGCATTTAGCTACTGTGTTCTTAAGAAACAAGCAGTGCATGGAAACAGTCAACCACGCAGGCCAGGTGGGTGACTGCAGATAGAAGGATGCATCCTCACGTGCAAGAGGGTCGGGGTGTATACAGAAGGTACAGTTGATGTCTCTGATGGGCTGCCAAGCTGAGGGACCAGAAGTGTAAGAACACGTTCCTGCAGCCCCGGACGGGATGCCACCTCCCTACGTGGCTCTCCCCAGGACAGGACACAATCTCTGGAATGTGGTTTTTCTTTCATATCCCCATGGCAAAAGCAGTAATTAGAGCGCTAGCAGTGTTGAGCGCTAGAAACAGAACAAAAGACGCCTTTGCCAGAGACAACTCTTGAGCAACCACACCTCGCTCCTTATCAGGTGTCCTCTTGGTGGTTTGAGATTGTTCAGAAGCAAAATGCCAGGGGAGGCTTGTCTGCCCAGGGCGCGGGGGAGAGTGAAATGATGGAAAAACCGCGTCGGAGTCTGGCAGGGGCTCCTGGACTCGCATGTGTTGCCTGTCTGAATGTTCCTGTGTTGTCCCTGGAATGGAGCGGAGGCTGCAGGCAGACCACACCACAGGCCGTGGTGGCACCACCTCCTGGCCCCACGGCAGCTGGACCCACAGACGCAGCGGAGGACAATGGGCCCCATTGAGCCACGAGCCCTGGCCTCACCTCCCAGGAGGTGGGTCAGCGTTAGAGCAGGGCGGTGGAAAGGGTTTGTCTCTGGGACGGGCCTGCCGAGGTCTGGCGTCTTAGCTAGAGGTGGCACCGGCTTCTAGGCGGCCTCAAAATTACCATCTGTCTGTGTCACAAGGACAGAAGAGAAACGACAGTGAGGAAAACATAATTGGAGGAACCCTGTTTTCTCTTCTTCCCCATCTTGAAGTTTGCTTTCCCACACCTCCTCTACCCAGAGACTCCACCCTTCCTGTCTGTTTTCCTTGAGTTGGTTATAGGTTTTTTTTCTCCTCAAGGTCCAGGTGACACACACCTCTCCCACTCCAACAATCACTTTGAATCTTCGTCTGGGTCATCTGGCTACTTGCTGAAGCACACCATTCATTTCTAACTGAACCTGCCCTCTGTTCAGTGCAGTTCACTTAAAACTGTTGGTTGCAGTGTAAAATGGTGCAACCTCTGTAGAAGGTGGTGTGGCGCTTTCTCAAAAAGTTGCAAATAGAAATACCATTTGACCCAGCAATTCATCTACTGGGAATATACTCTAAAGAAATTATAACTGCCACACAGGCAGATATATGCACACCCATGTTTATTGAGGCTTTGTTCACAATAGCAAAGAGTTGGAAACAACCTAAGTGACCATCAACAAATGAATGGATAGAGAAGCTGTGGTATATTCACACAATGGAATACTACACTGCATTGAAAAACAAGGAACTCATGAAAGATACAAAATGGGTGACCTTGGAGGACATTATGCTGAGTGAAATATCTCAGCTACAAAAGGACAAATATTCCATAGTGCCACTGTTGTAGAACAGGACTGACATGGGGGTTGGGGTGAGACTGAGAAAAATTAGATAAATCATGTATACTATATTGAAATAGATGAGGGAAAGAACAGTCTAAAAGCAATATATGATTGGGTATTATGGTTATGATTATGACAAGAGTCCAGAATGAAGGTTGCATAGTGGAGTGTACTCAGGGAGTGGGAGGGGATTGTATATCAATGAAGGACTTTTTCTTTTACTTTTCAAAGAGAAGAGCAAACTGGGGGTGGGGGGAGGGATGGGCAGGGAGAAAAATGCAGCCATGAATTAATGGAAATCCAAAAATCTCTGTAAATGTTCATTAAAATTAATAAATAATTTTTTTTAAAAAAATCCTATTGTGTCCCAATAGGTCACCTCACTTAGAATTCCTTTTCACTTCTTGGTCCCAACAAGGGTACCTTGTTGGTGGTGGTAGTGGTGTGTGCTGTCGAGTTGGAACCGACCAGTAGCTGATCCTCCAGTGAGTTTTCAGAGGCAGTAAATCTCACTAAAGAAGATTGCCCATCTTTCTCCTGTGGAGCAGCTGGGGGAATAGAACTGTGCACCTTCAGATTTGGCACACACAGCTCCTTACCACTAGGCCACCAGCATTCCCTTGACTTGTGCTATTTCTCCTACAACAACAAAATCAGTAAATGATGCTGAACCTTTGTTTTAGGCCATACCATGTTCTAGGCACTTTAGAGACATCATTTTATGAAATGCTATCCCCTAAGATATCCACTAAGCCTTTGAACTGTGGTGCTAGAGAAGAGCATTGGATATACCATGGACTGCTAAGAGAACAGTCGCCGGCACATAACAAATCCACTAAGGTGTGCTTGAAGGCACACGGTTCGAATCCACCAGCTGCTCCGTGGAAGGATGGGCAATCTCCTCCCGTGCTGCCTCTGAAAACCCGCCAGAGTGTCAGCTACGGGTCAGTTCTGACTTGACGATACACAACAACAGCATCCACTACTCCATGAGTTTGGATACCACAACTGGGTGCTTGCTTTACAGGAGGAGAAACTGAGGCATGAGTTGCTCAAGAACCATGTCCCAGGGCCCACAGCTAGTAACAGCAAGGCTGCTCTCATCCAAGGTCTATGACACCCAGCCTCATTTATAACTACTCTGTCACCATGATAGTCTGCCACTTATCTGGTGGCCCAACCTAACGTCACATCTGAAACAAACACTAGCCTTGTCATGACACTTTTTCTGGGTTCAGGAATTGTTCAGCTTGATTTTTTGCAATGCAGAGTCATTGATCAGTTAACAAGTTATTATTAGCATCATTTTCACAGTTATGGAGCTTGTTAGGAGAGTTGTTGATAGCCACAGAGTAGGCTGCACCCTCCAGCAGGTTTTCAGAGGCAGTTAATTGCATGGGAGGAGACTGCCCATCCTTCTCTTACGGAGCAGCTGGGGGATTTGAACTGAGCACCTTCAAGATTGTGGCGCAGCTGCTTACCATTAGGCCCCCAGAGCTCTCCAACAGGTTAAAATTGAGATTGGAAAC